ATTTTAGCATTATTGTATTTTAACAAATGTAACGATATCGGTTTATAATCTATATAATAGTGTAGTATTGATATAGAAAATATTATTACAATCGTGGTAAATCATGTACCTGAGTAGATAGTGTAAAAGTGAGTACGACATAATTATAAAATTGATAGAGTATAAAACACGATATGGGACCTCTAATGGCTTGAGTATATTGTTAGGCCCAAGGTTTAACACCTTTAATGGCATTAAGTATTCTGGGCCAAATTGAATTGGATCAAGTGATCCTTGAGTTAAATGGACCTTACATGTGAGGGGGAGTGTTGAAATATATCCTACCAAATAGCACATGTAAGTGTCCCACATTGAGAAAAGAAGAGAGGGTTAAACATTTTATAAGCCTAAGGGGCTACTCCTCCTATTGCCATATGGTTTTGGGATGAAACCTCCTTTGAATTTGTGAAGTGGACTCTCTCTCTCTTGGTTTGCGGGTGCGGCCCAGACTCGTATTTAGTATAGTATCAGAGCCAATGTGACACAAAGATCATGGGTTCGAATCTCATCCACCACCACTTTCAAGTGGAATATTAAGCGCTGGGTATGAGGAGGGCCTATGTTGCATCCACATTTTAAGCCCAATGGGCTCTCGTGTGAGGGGGTGTAATAGATTATAAAACATATTTATGGATTTCAACCATTAGTTTAAGATTTTGGTTGAGTTGGTCATTAACAAAAACAAACAGACAGAATAATACGATGTATGTTATCAAGGACAATAAAAATTCACACAACCAATTAACCAATATTTAAAAAGATAATCACTTTGACAAAAGGGTCTTGCAAAGTAATCATATATACTTGGATTTAATTAGTAGTGTAAAGGTTAAAGAGAGCATCTCCAAAATTAATTTTGTTAAGAAGTATCAATAGCATAAAATGTCCGAGTAACCTTTTTTATGGTGCAATTATTGATTTTACTTATTTAAACTTATATGAGCTTGAATGAACTTATAAACTTATTGCACTTTATTAGACCTTATTCTAGCGGTAAAATTGAACTTTGGTTATTCTCTATAAGTCTTATCCATATTAACCTTTATGATAGCCTTATCAAAAATATTTTTCTTGAATTTATCTTTGAAAAGTTATTAATCCTTAGAAAAAATTGACAAGAATAATTTCAACTTTACCTCATTCGCCCAAAATAATCCCAACTTTCGATTATTTTTTAATAATCCGAACTTTAATATGAATTTGCTTTCATTTGGCTCAGGGGAGGTAGGGTGGTGGAGGTGGCTGGGTTGGTGTCGGTGTTGGTGATGGCTAAGGTGGTTTGTAATTTAATTTGGTTTCTTTTTTAATTATTTTGAAAGTACGTATTAATTATTTTTAAAATTGTTAGTTTTAAATTAGTTAATCAAGTGTTATTTAATAACTAATAATCATTTTTTTAAAAAATAAATTTTGTTATTGACCAATCATGTGATGACACGTGTAAATTTTTTTTTTTTTAAAATTACCTACTCAACAAGTTACCGGTCACTTGGGACCATTGGAAGCAAATTCATATTGAAGATCGGATTATTAAAAATAATCGAAAGTTAGGATTATTTTAGGCGAATGAGACAAAGTTGGGATTATTCTTGTCAATTTTTCCTAATCCTTATGTGAACTTATTTTTTCTTAAAGTAGGCCCTATTCACTTCACCTTATAAATTTAATATTTAGTAAAATAATTTTAGTTTAGTAAAAATTAGTTCAGTTCACTAAAAACAATTTCAGTTCACTAAAAATAATTTTAGTTCATTAAAAATCAATAACTTAAAAGAAGAAATATAATAGAGAATCAACAAATATAATTTCAGTTCAGTAAAAAAGAAATTTAGTTCAGTAAAATCACTTTTAGTTTAGTAAAAATAATTTAGGTCATGTTCAACAAAAATAATTTCAGTTCAATAAAAATAAATTCTATTTAGCAAAAATAAGGTGAAATGAACAGGGCCTAAGTGAAAATAATAAGGTTGACTAAAACAAGGCTTAAGTAGCGATGATGAAATAATGGATATCTTGCAAATTTATTATTACCACCTACATTACTTTAAAAAATTAAAGAAACTTCTAACATTTCAACAAAAAATAAGTATTTATTGTAAAAAAAAAATACATTTTTTTTTTCAAATTTAACTTGGGATTATCTAATCTAGTAAAAAAAAAAAATTATGTTTAGTAAAAGTAGTTTCAATTCAGCAAAAATAATTTCATTCAACTTACTACAAAATAATTTTAATCACTCAAAATTAGTAACTTTAAAGAACAAATGGTTGACTCGAATGAACAATACAAGAGGGGGGTTAATTGTATTGTAGAGGAATTAGGGTAATTTTTTACGGAATTTATTCAATAAGACTTAAAGAAACTTAAAGTGCAAAGAGAGATTTTACGTGGAAAACTTCTTGGTCCTAATCAAGAAGAAAAACTACGACCACAAGGGATTTTAAAACTCAACTCTTAATTATAATAGGGCAAACAACCTATTACAATCTAAGACTCTAACTCAAGTTCCTCAACGAAAAACACTTTGACACTCAAGGACTCAAGTGGATTTTGACTCTTTTCGAAAACTAGAAAATATTGCAATGCTCAAGTGTGTTTCTCAACAGAAAAACCAAATCTATTTATAGAGAGGAGAGGTGGTTAATTTTGCCGTTGCTTCAGCTCCACTAAATCACAACTTCCTTAAGAATAGGAAGTGCAAGTAGTGGGATCTTGGGCAGCAAGCAAAACGCACTTCTCCTAATAATGCTGAAAGTGTTTTACAGCTCCTTAAATTATCTCAATCGATTTTGACCAAGTAAAAACACACGTATAAAATCTTTTTCCAAAAACTGATTTTCCAAAAGATAAGTTTAACAATTAAACAGAAAATCTTTTAACTGAAAAAGATATTTTAGCAAAAAGATATTTTCCAAAATATTCCATAAAATAAAATATCCAAGACAATATATGGAAAGTAAGACTTTATCATATAAAATAAAATCCACTTGACTCCTATTAATTATCAAAGTACTTAACATGAACATAAGAAGCCTAAAATATATAAAAGATAAATTAAACTTCTTCGGACACTCTTTAGGAAACTTCGACTCTGAAGCTTCTGTTCCCACTCAAAGAACTCGACTTCTGATTGTCTTCATTACTCTTCTTATCTTCATTAGCTGTCTTCAAACATTGTTCTATGCTGCTTTATTACTCCAGATTTTTGTAGTATACAACTTAGTCCAACCAAGAACCTGTCATCAATCACAGCTAAGATAGAAAGTTAAACAGTTATGACTTTGCTTAGGTTCCTTCGAGTCATCATCAAAACTTAGGGTCAATACAAATAAAATAGAATATATGTATATATATATATATATATATAAGTAAAATAATTTTAATTCAGTAAAAATCATATAATTAAATTTAGCAAGAATAACTCTAATTTAGTAAAAATAATTTCTATTCAACAAAAAGTAAAAATAATTTCTATTCAACAAAAATAAGGTGAAGAGAACCGCATTTAAATTGATTTCACTTAAGTTCTAAACTAGCCATATATTATTTTAGAATAGATTATAATTATAAAAAAGTCAATGAAACTTCCTATATAGCTAATCCATATCTGATATCTACACCATTCCACAATATTGTCTAATGGCTAATGCTCCATATTATCCTTCTCCATAGACAGATGATATGTTTAGTGTTTTAGCGTGGTACAAAATTACATTTTAGATTGGAAAAATTGCTAAAAATAATCCCAACTTTCACGTATTCGCTTTAAATAATTCCAATTTTCGATTATTATTAAATAATCCCAACTTTGGGGTGTATTCGCTCAAAACAGTCCTTGACCGGTTACTAACCTGTTATAATTAGTTAAAGTGACACGTGTCACGTGTCACCATGTGATTGATTGATAAATTTAAAAGAAGAAATACAAAAATTGAAAAAAAGGAGAAAAACTTGTTTTTTTAAAAAAAAAATGCCCAGCCACCACCCACAAATCACCTTCCCCACCACCCACGAACCACCTTCCCCACAACAATTACGGCGGCCGGAACCCCCTTCCCCACCCACGCGCTGGCCAGAACCACCTCCTCCACGTCGGTAGCTCCCTTTCCCCCAAAACCACCAATCCCACAACCCAAAACCCCTGAAATCCCACCCACGACCACCCAAAATCCCTAAATCACCTCCCCCAGCCGCCCCTCCACCACCATCGGAACCCTAGTGTTAGGGTTCCGATGGTGGTGGAGGGGCAGCTAGGGGCTTTTATGCGATGGTGAAGGTAGTTTAAGGATTTCAGACTAGTTTAAGGCCGCGAGATTGGTTATTTGGGGGAAAGAGGCGTTGGTTAGGGCGATGTTGGCGTTGGGGAGGGGGTTTGGCCGCAGCAGGCTGAAGCCGGGGACTAGGGCTAGGCTAGTGACAGGCACGACGCCGATGGTTGTGTGGTTGTCGTGGGTTGGGGGCTTGGGGTTGGGTTTTTTTTTTTTAGTCTTTTTAAATTTTTTTTAATATGTTTTCAATCATTAACGAGATGACACGTGTTAATTAACTTTTTTTAAAAAAAAAATATTACCAGTTTAATAGGTTACTGATCACATGGGACTGTTTTGAGCGAATGACCCTCAAAGTTGGGATTATTTAATAATAATCCAAAGTTGAGATTATTTAAAGCGAATACGTGAAAGTTGGGATTATTTTTAGCAATTTTCCCTTTTAGTTTTATCAACATAAGAGATATTAATTGGCTACAATTTGGCCTATTTACATAAATCTAAATCATAAATTCCTATTAATTGTTTATGCTAAATTTCGTAGAGTGGGATTGAATAGCAAAATCTAGGTTACGAATCAACTAAATAAAACCTTAAACGAAATAAATAAGCAAATAAAGAAATAACACGAGAAATTGGTGACGCAGAAAACCCAAAGGAGGTAAAAACCACGGGTGGAATGAGGATCCACCAATTTTTCACTATGTAAATTATAGAATGAAAAATATTACAATGTATGCTTGGTGTATTTAAATAGCTAGGTTGCAATGTCCTCTCTCTGCCACGGCTAGATGCTTATATATATGTAATTTAGGTCTTGATGTAGCGTTGGTGATAAGATGCCTCTCCTTGATTTCCGGCAACAAACTCCTTGACTCGGGGCATTTCTTCTATCTTGATGACGACTTGACCATGCTGTTAGGAGACTTGGTCTTTCATGCTTATCTCTTCCTAGGAAATAGGAGAACGGTTGCTATCCATGCTTCGTCCGTCGAATCTTATGTTTTAACCATCAATTCTTACTCTTCGCCGCTGACCCCTGCTGACTTGCATTGACTTTGACTCACTAAAATTTACCCATAACAATTTTCCCCTAATTGCTTAATATGGGTAGCTATGTACATGTTCAGCAATTATATAAACAAGAAAAAAGTAAAACTGACGAATTAAAAAAACTGATTACTTAACGGCATAAGCGTCCTTCTGACTGGTGCACTAACTTGAGAAGTTACTTCAACTTCCCACATCCCCAATTAACCGTCATTTCAAGCTTTTATTACTGTTGCACGTTTTCCCACTTCCCCAAAATTACTGCACTCTTTCTCTCTCTTGCACACAGGTTCTCCAGCAAACTCTAAAGCAGCGAGTAGTGGTGACTCTTCGGTTTAAGCTTTCAGGAACTTCAATTGATAGGTAATTACTTCGATTTTCTGTTTACTTAGTTAATTTGGGCGAATGTCGAGTAGAATTCCTAAAATTAGATCTAGGTTTTCACTTCGAATTGTTGAAAAAAGAGGAACAGTTGTTTCACAGAGGAAAGCGATGACTAGGGCGGAATCGCTGATGGCGCCTGACATGATGGAGGGCTTTATAAAGATGGCGGGGTTTCCTGAGACTGCCTTTTCCCACGGCAAAGGCAAGAAAGTGGAGAATTACCCCAAGGGTTTCGTCGTATTCTTCAAGTTCACGTTCTTGGAGACAGGGACTAAATTTTCGTTTAAGCCCTTAACTAAATCTTTTATTGAGATTTTGGGGTTGAGTCCTGGGCAATTGATGCCGTCTGGCTGGAGGATTTTGTCGGTGTTGGAGGAGGTTACCAAAAATTGGGATGATCCCTATACTTTGGAGGATTTGACTAAGGCGTATGAGATAAAGATGAGGAAGGATGGTTTTGTAAGTTTGCATAAGAAGGGGGAACAGTTGGTTTTGAATATCGACTGTAATGACAGGGGTTGGGCTAGTTGGTTTGTTTTCGTTAAAAAGACATCGCTGGGTTCTGAAGGAAATTGGTTAACGGAGGGATGGCCAATGAAGGGTAAGTATCTTTTTCTCGTGTTTAGTTTCTAGGACTAGGGTTTTCTAAATGTTTGATCTTGGTTCTGACTGTGCAGGCCTGAATTTCGACTTTCTCGAGCCGACGGAGGCGTCAACGTCGAAGGTAAAGCGGATTCTTGAGGTGAAGCATACAAAAAGAACTTTTAAAAGGACGAGGTACATTCTTGGTGAATCATTGGGCCAAAATCAAAAAGGATTACCAAGTACCTCTCAAAGAGTCGAGGATTCCGAGGAAACGATGTCTACTCGTAAGTTGTCCGCTACTTTGTTCTTTTTCGATCTGCCGATGTCGTTGTACGTTGTTCATGTGTTTCTTTTTGTTAGAATCTGCAGCACAAGGAAGTCGTCGAGGACGAAGCCTATCTCAGGCGGAGTAGGACGCACAGATGAGGAGGAAATAGGGGTTGCCACCTCGAGAGGCGTCGCCATCATCGGTGGTGGACAGGACGCAACAGCTAAACGCTTCGTCGCCGCAGAAGGTTAGCGACGTAGCCACGCTGGTTCATGCGTCGTTGTCCCCTCCTGATAAACAGCAGAAGACGGACGACATTTAACACTTCTAGATGTAGAGGCACGTTTTCCTGCCGACTACCTTAGTTTCACTAAGGATACTCGTCAGTCTCTGTTTCCGCAGTTGAATGAACTGTTGTTCCCTAGTTCTCGAGAAGGGTTGGCTGGGACTTCAACATTGGATCTTGCATTAGAGGCTACTTCCGTTCATCTCTACGTAAGCTTCTTTCTTTTGTTTATTTGGTCGGTGATGTGTATTTGGTTTATAATTTGGGATTTAGCGGATTGGACAGTGTTTGCAGAATTCCTTGTTTTTGAGGGAAAGGGTGTTCGGGCTGGCTAAGAAGATGAAGAGGTTGGATGATGTTTCTAAGAACAGTGAGGCTAAGAACAGGACTGCGACGAGGCAATTTCAAACTATAAAAAAGGAGTTCGAAAAAACAGTCAAGAAGGTGGACGAATTGGAAATTCGTCTAGAGGAGTAGGCCAAGAAGATGGACGAGAAGTCGAAGAAGGTGGAGGAGAAAACCCAACAGCTACAGGAGCAAGCCAAGAAACTGAAGGAGCAAGCCCAGCTACTGGAAGACAAAGCTGTGATCATACGGGATAAAGACGAAGCTTTGTTGAAGGTGCAGGATGAGCTGTTGGTAGTCAAAAAGGAGTTCGACGATGCTCTAAATGAGGGTGTAGAGTGGGGCTCGATTGATGAAAGAGTATCTGGATGGGAAGGCTTCGGAATGGCCACCTTAGGAGGACATTAACCGCTTTTTGGCAGATTAAGGGACTCTTGCTGAGCTGGGGGAAGATGCTGCGGTAGTTTCGACCGCAAATTCGGGACCTCATCCGTCGAACGTTGTTCCTCCTACCACTGACGAAGCTTCGGCGCAACCAACGATTGGTGAACGCGTTAGAGACAATGCCCTTGTAAACGAGAACATAAAGGATGTCGTTGAAGGAGTGAATGTTGATGGCGAAGCTAATGCTTGAAGGCCATTGCTTGTGATGGTTTCTTTTGCTGTGTATTTATGCTTTTGCTTCGCACTTTGATACTTTAGTTTTTCACTTGAATGTTTTCGTCATGGCCTTTGAATATTTCTGTTTGGATATTGTTGTCTTTCGTTTCACTTGATGGCAAGTGGTTCTTTTGAACACTGTTATGACTTTTGTCGTAGCTTTGCACGTAGTATTTTCCCTTTGTCTCGTCTGTTACTATTGCTTGCATGTGTTATAACTTTGTTCTGCGAACAGTCTGCATAAACGTAAGATCAATTTTTGAACAAAATTTAAAAACCAGAAGAACACTTACATGAAATTTAGATGAATTAGAAAATGAAAATACTGGAAAGAGCGAACATTTGATAAAGCAAATGGTTAAAGAAGGAGTAAATTCATTGACGCATAAGAATTGAAAAAACTTAGTAATTTTATTCGATTGTCATTATACAAAGTATTCGTCGAAGGCTTTATGTAGCATTTGTATACTCGAGTTTAGGCCTTCGCTGTTTTCCAATGCCCCTTGCGTCCCAGCGTCGACGCTGAACACCGAGGGCTAAGCTCATAGTTCAGGTGTCGGGTGTTTGGCGTCGAACGCTAAGGTCATATTTGCCCAGGCTTTGTTTTGTTTCGATGTTTTCATTTGAATTTTCCTCATCCTTTAGAAGGATGTCAGCGTAGCCGATGTCGGTTGCCTTTGTATTGTTTTGTTGTGATTTCAGGTCATGACCTGATTTATCAGTTTCGTCGCTGTATGTTTCGTCGATCGATGTTCTGCAAAACCAACATGGTTAGAGTACCGTTGGCCGTTAGCTGATGCTTAAGTCAGAATACGTAGTAAAAATAAGTAGTCAAATGAAAATAAATCAAATGTAAGATCGGGATGTTACCTTATCGTCGACGAATACTCTTTTGACACTTTAGAAGTAATAATTTCTGAGATGAGTTGCGTTCCAACTTCTTGGAATTGGTTTACCTTGCTGGATTGGCTTGAGGATATCTTGGTGTCGGTGTCCTTAGCTCTATTTTTAATTTCCTACAAAATGAACGAGTTTTGTCGCTAATAAACTGTGACCCGTTGTCACAGACTATCACCAACGGAATGCCAAACCTGCAGATAATGTTTGTCCATAAGAACGAAATAACTTCTTTGTGCGTCACCTGCTTCAAGGCAATTGCCTCGATCCATTTAGAGAAATAATCTGTTAGTGCTAGCATGTAAACTCTTTGTCCTGGTGCAGCAGGTAGTTTTCTAACGATGTCCATCCCCCATCTCATGAAAGGCCATGGAGACAAGGTTTGATGCAAAGATTCTGAAGGTTTGTGGACTGTGTTGGTGAATTGACAGCTATCACACGTGGCTGCTGCATATGTCGTCGTGCATGTGGCTGAGGATAGATTGTTACTCATTACTTTGGATACATCTTTGTGATAGTCCCGATGCTGATTCATGGAACAAGACTGTTAGTGACATGGTATCTAGAGGCTTTGTATCTCAATTTCCAGGCTTCTGTTTTATCATCGGGAAGGGTGTTGTTGGTGAGGTAATTTATAAGTGGTTTGGTCCAGTCGTTATCATCATCGACGTCGTCGACGGGGTGGATTGCTTTTGTGGATATGGAAGGTTTTCGTAGGCGGACTAAAGGTATCGACATAAAGGTGGTCTTTTTTAGTGCAGAGGCTAAGTTTGCAAGTGCATCGGCTTGGGAGTTTTGGTCTCTTGGAATTTGTTGGAATGCGAAAGGGTTAAAGTGTTTGGCTTTCTCTTTGTCTTCTTCGAGGTAGGCTATCATTTTGGAGTCTTTTACTGTAAAGTCTCCTGTCATCTGGCTGACGATGAGGAGGGAGTCACTGTATACATCTAGAGTTATTGCCCCCAAGTTTTTGGCGACGATCATTCCTGCAATTAGTGCTTCATATTCTTCTTTGTTATTTGTTACGTTGAAATCACAAGATATAGATCGTACTATCATGTCCCCTTGTGGCGACTTCAGCACCATTCCCAAGCCAGCTCCTCGTTAATTGGATGATCTGTCTACGAATAGAATCCATTTTCTTTCTTTGCCAACACTGTTTATTTCTTCCACTTCTTTGTCAGCTATGGCCTGCAGGTCGGGACTGAAGTCAGCCACAAAATCAGCCAAAGCTTGTGACTTGATTGCTTTTCGGGGTTAATACTTAATGTCGAGTGTACTCAATGAAATGCTCCATTTGCCCATACGTCCTATCAACTCTGGTTTGCTCAAAACAAACTTGATAGAGTAATTAGTCATCATGTCACCACTACGTGGTGGGTTTCAAAATAATGCCTTAGTTTTTTATCAGTAGTAACCAAAGCAAGTACGAGGTTTTCAAGAGACGAATACCTTACCTCGGCTGGGAGCAGGGTTTTACTTACATAATAAACTAGCAACTGCCCAGCGTCGTCATCTTCTCTGGTCAAAACAGCACTGACGACGACGGCATTGACGACAATGTACAACTACAAAGGCTTGTTAGTTTTCAGTTTCGACAGGAGGGGTGGTGTCACTAAAAATTTTTTTAGGTCCTGTAATGCTTTCTCATGATCGTCGGTCCATTCAAAGCCTTTATTCTTTCGCAAGAAGTTATAAAAAAAGATGGCAGTTGTCCAACGTTCGAGAGATAAAGCGGTTTATTGCTGCCACTCGTCCTGTCAATTTCTGGGTTTCCTTAACATTTTGGGGGGATTGAATGTTTATGAAGGCCCTGAATTGGTCGGGACTTGCTTCAATTCCCTTTTGCATTATGACATAACCAAGAAATTTACTAGCAGATACTCCAAAAGAACATTTAGTAGGGTTAAGTTTCATACCATAATTTCGCAAAACCTCAACCGTTTGACAAAGGTGGTCGACGTGGTCCTCTGATTTTTTGGATTTCACTAACATATCTTCGATATACACCTCCATCGTGTCGCCGAATTGATCTTTGAACATTTTGTTAACGAGTCTCTGGTATGTCGAACCTACATTTTTTAGTAAAAAAGGTATAACTTTGTAACAATACATACCTCTATCTGCCATGAAGGCCGTTTTTTCCTGATCGTCGGGATGCATAAGAATTTGATTATATCCGGAGTAAGCGTCCATGAACGTCAAGAGCTCGTGACTTGCTGTTGCATCTACCATGGCGTCGATGTGTGGCAACGGGAATGGATCTTTAGGCCATGCTTTATTGAGATCAGTAAAGTCGATGCATACTCTCCATTTTCCATTCTTCTTACTGACTATGACAACGTTTGCAAGCCAATCCAGATATTCCACTTCTCTTATTTTCCCCGTATCGATCAGCTGCTGCACTTCATCATTGATGATCTTATTTCATTCTGGGGAGAACTTTCGACGCTTCTGCTTTACGGGCTTATGATTTGGATCGACATTTAACTTGTGCAAGATGACGCTTGGATCTATTCCCGTCATATCCTCATGCGACTAGGCAAAACAGTCTTTATTCTCTCGGAGAAAGGTTAGGATGGCGTTTATGAGTTCAGGCGCCAGGTCGGCTTCGACACGGACGGTCTGATCTAGTTTTTTAGGGTCCAGAGGTATTTCGTCAATTTCTAGGTCGTTGGGATTGCCTAGTGTCGGGCCTTGCTGTAATTTCTAGGTGGATTTCATGCATGGTTTCAAGGTTGTTTTGTAGTAGTTTTTGGCTTTACGGGGTTCTCCTTTAATCTCTTGGATTCCCCAGGATGTTAGAAATTTGAGAGTTTGATGGTCGATGGAAGGGATGGCTTTTAGTTTATGGATCCATGGTCTGCCCATGATGGAATTATAGGTTGAAGGACAGTCTACGACGTTGAATTTGGTTTGGGGGTTTAGGCCGCCAGCATAGGTAGGTAAGGTTATGTCTCCGAGAGTTGACATGTCTCACCACCAAAACCGACCAACATTGTCGATCTTCTGACGATATCACTATCTTTTATCCCCATTTCTTCCATGGTTTTCGGAATAGGACATTTGCGGAGCTTCCCCCATCGTCCAATACCCTTTTAAGCAGACAATTCCCAACCATCAAGGATATGACCAGGGAGTCTTCATGCTCTTTGCTGATGTTGTTGATGTCATCGTCGTTGAAAGTGATGGCCATTGCTTCGAGCTTTTTCTCTAAAGGGTCTCTTGCTTCTTTTGGGATGGCAGGGTCGCTTGACGACGTTTTCGCAATTCTCTTAGCAACAGAATAGGTTAGTCCACAAATATCTGAACCACTAGAAATAACATTAATTACTACCGTACGCCCAGGTGGCTTAGGTGGCCTGCTTGTTGAATTGGCTTTTGTGTTGCAGGTCGCACTACTTTTCTTCTTGCCCAACAGGTGCTTGAGGTTGCCTCTTTTTAGCTGGAAGGCCACTTCTCTTCGCAATGCATAGCAGTCTTCCGTCTTATGCCCATGATCGCTGTGGAACTCGCACCACTTACTCACATCTTTCTCCGAATCTGGCTTATTGCTCTTTGTCGGCTAGCGGACCTTGTTTCCTAATGGCTCCAGCACGTTCACCACTGCTACCACGTCGACGTCGAACCCATATTTTGATAATTTTGGGTGCTCTGGTGCATCGGCAACCGGTCCACCCTACACATTATTAACAAATCGTGATCTACCTAAGGTTTCATAGGGTTGGTGTCGCCATGACCCACGCTGACTGTTTTGAGTCCTTCGATCAGTCGTGCTTCTGATGCTATGGTTGGAGCTACGGTTGGCAATATCCTCGTCGAAGCGCATCTGGGCCACCGCTCTCTTCGGATCCTCTTCGAATGTTGAGTAGGGGTACTTGACCATGTCCTTGTATAGATCCGAATCGGTATGCAATCCTCGACGGAAGGCTTCGATGGCAGTCCTGTTATCGACGTTCTTGATTGAGACTTTCTCGTTGAATTTGGTCCAGTAGGTTCTGATGCTCTCCTCTGGCCCTTGGACGATCCGATACAGATCACTTGTTTGTTTGTCGAACTTCCTACTACTTTTAAAATGGGAATAAAACTTGTTAATTAACATAGCAAAGCTAGTGATACTACCTGGTTCAAGTTTGTCGAGCCATTTGAGGGTGGGACCAGTCAGCGTCGTACCAAAGGACTTGCACATGCATGCTTCCCAGCACTTAAACGGGATCGACGCTTGCCACATCCGCTGGTTGTAGTACTCAACATGCTGCTCTGGACAGGTTGTGCCGTCGTAAAGTAAGGTGAACGTTGGCAGCGACAATCTTATGGGGATGCGAGCTCTAGATAATTCATCACTGAACGGGGTTGCTGCAAATCCATCGGGAGCCTCTCTCTGGACTTGGATCACAACACCTAGCATCCTCTTCATCACGGTCAGCACTCTGGAGTTCTACTTTTCTAAAGCGGCTAGCCTCTGGAGAAGGAGTTCAGTCTGGCTTGGCTCACGATCATTAGTCTGCTGCTCGCCCCGGGGTTTGGAAGTTTCCTAGTTGCGCGCTGTTTGGGATCGGGGTTTCAGCATCCATTTCGTCGCCACTAGTCTATGTATCTGTATCATGCAGCACTTCTAACGGACACATACGCGGTATGATACCCGGCTGCCTTAGGCGTCGACGACGGTGTGCTCTGGGCGGACTCCAGCTGCTGACGGAAGGTAGCTGCATCGGATGCTGATGCTTCCTTCTCCTTGTTGAGACGCTCATTGGACTCTTGGGCTGCTAGGAGATCGGCCTTGGTTTTCTCATAGGCCTCTCTCATCTGCTCGAGGGTCATATCATCAAAAGCCATTTCGGAAGTTGGGTTAGGGTTTTGGGGTTTTACCTAATTATATCCCCACAGACGGCGCCAAATTGTTTATGCTAAATTTCGTCAAGGGGGATTGAATAGAAAAATCTAGGTTACGAATCAACTAAATAAAACCTTAAACGAAATAAATAAGCAAATAAAGAAATAACACGAGAAATTGGTGACGCGGAATACCCAAAGGAGGTAAAAACCACGGGTGGAATGAGGATCCACCAAACTTTCACTATGTAAATTGTAGAACGAAACATATTACAATGTATGCTTGGTGTATTTTAATAGCAAGGTTGCAATGTCCTCTCTCTGCCACGGCTAGATGCTTATATATATGTAATTTAGGTCTTGATGTAGTCGTTGGTGATAAGATGCCTCTCCTTGATTTCCGTCAACAAACTCCTTGACTCGGGGCACTTCTTCTATCTTGATGATGACTTGACCACGCTGTTAGGAGACTTGGTCTTTCATGCTTATCTCTTCCTAGGAAATAGGAGAACGGTTGCTATCCATGCTTCACCCGTCGAATCTTGTGTTTTAACCATCAATTCTTACTCTTCGTCGCTGACTCCTGCTGACTTGCATTGACTTTGACTCACTAAAATTTACCCATAACAGTAATATACTACGTACCTTAATCCTCCAAAAAAAAAAAAAAATTCCGAGTGATATACGTACGTACTATGCTAATATGTGTTATCTTTGCTTGTAATTCCTGACAATGCTTGAAAAAGTTTCGTGCCGTCGTAGCTTTAACGTGTTCACACAATTGTTTTGGTGCTCAACAAAGGATAACTTTTGTTTTAGATAGGAAAAGAAAGTCACCATTCAAGTAAATATGTATTCGTATATATGACTAAAAAGTAAGGACATACGGAGTATCTAACGTAATTGGCAACATTTAATTTTAGATATACTATTTAAAATTATAGATTAAATTTTGTCTATATCATTTTTATCTATATAGATAAATGAAATCATGTTATATGTTGTGGAGTCTAAGTGAAGATGACATATGCTCTAAAGAAATACTTCTACTTTGTATGATTATGGACATATATATTTAGCATAATAGAACATCATGTTTTGAGAATACTACGGAGTACATATTTAAAATTATATATTATTCTCGTGATCCCGTTAATGATTAAGTTTAAATCCCGTCTACAATATTTTCATTCGTGGCTATATACTAAGAAATATCGATCATTATTTTAACAAAGAATAATTATATGTGGAGCATAAGTGGAGATGACATATGCTCTAAAGTAACAGAAGAATGCTTCTTTATGTCCAATCAATATTCATTTAGCTCGCTTGCCACATGTGCATTATTAAGAACTTCATTACTTGTTTGGTTAGGCCTCTGTTTATACTCAATGCTTTGATTTTTATGCTTTTAATTATGTCACATGTCTTATTATCTTTAAGACCAAATAAGACTGAAGAAAACAATTATAGCAGCCATGGATGGATTAATGAATTGCTATAAAGATTATTCCTAATTTAGAAATAATGTAAACTAATTTAAAATTATCTATCAATTGAGAAACAATGGAGAAGTAGGTACTTCGTATATATTAATGTATATAAGGATCCCGACCATTTTATATAATTCTAATTTATTTATTATTTAAATCGAAAGGAAATTCACTCTAGCATATTCTTATTTCCTATGTCAATAATTTGTGTTATTAATTATAATTAGAAACATCAAATTAGACATTGAAGTAGTAATGAAGATAATAATGGCTAAATACGTATTGGCAAATGTGAAGAAAAGGATTTACCAACTAAAAAAAAAAAAAAATTAATATATATAAGTCTATACATGGAAAAATCAATTGATTTATATGCACTATTAGAAAAAGACCAAATATTATTTTAGTGGCTAAAATAAAGGCGAAGAAATGATCATTACACTATGATCAACCTCATATAAGTTAAAAGCACATCATGTTATTAAATGGTATAAGAAGAAGTGTTACCAAGTTAAAAGGGTAAAGTAATCAATCCAAACAAAACTAAGCTAAACACATTACATGTTCTAAAGAAGTAAAGATTGTTTCCAAGAACAAACATTGAAGAAAGGAAGAAAAAGAAGAGAAAATTCATCTAATCATTTAAAAAAACACATCATTGTTAAAAACATCAAAATTGGAGATTACAAAGTAAAATCGAGTTTACATTGATAAATAAATAAATAAAACAATAATATATCAGCTTAGTGTCATGCTCTTTTCAAATTTTCCAATAAATTTTTTTTGGAGAAAATACTCTTAAGTAAACCCTAAAATATCATGAAAAAGAAGGGTCACACTCTTTAATATTATTTGGGCATTTTTGTTCTTTTTTTAATGGGTTTTCTAGCAATGATTTTTAAAAATTGCGGGATAGTTTTACCACATTAACCGCCTAAAAATTCCTTGATCCTCAAGAATAATCCAAACGGTCATTTTTTTTTAATTTCCAAAAATAATTAGGCACCAAATTTATTCCGGCAAATAAAAACGGTTATATTGAAAGAGAAAGTACCAAACTCTATTTTCCGCAAAAATAAATATTTGGGGGAAAAACAACGATAAATAGAAACCCAGACGTTATTAGCCTTCCCTTTCTTCTTCTCCTCTCTCCTATTCTGCAAATTTGTTCATCGATCTAGATTTTATTCTCCATCAAATTTCTAACTTGTTAAGCAATTTCTCTAATTAATCATCAATTCTCTAATGGGTCGATTTTATTTTCCCCAATTTTTGATCAGTATTTCCCAATTTGAGTTTTTGATCATCGATTTACTTGTTCTTCGTCTTGTTTTAATTGATTCTACCCCATTTTTGTAATCGATTTTTCTGGGCTTTTTTGACAAAAAAAATTGGATTTTTATGCTGTTTAATTTAGGGTTTTGATTTAATTTCTAGCAAAATTTGGGCCCAACTACCGTAAATTTTACCGTTAATTTTAATTCGGTTTCAAACTTAGGAACTTCAGTTTTTCTGGGTATTTTTTGGTTTTAATGTTGTATTGCTTATAATTTTTTATGTATTTTTATAGGTAATTAGTCTCCTGATTGCGATTGCCCGCCAAAATTGAAGTCATTAACTTCTATTTTGATTATTGATGTTATTCAAGGTATGAATTGTTCTATTTAATGCATGGACTAGCTATCCATTAATAAATTGTAGATTTTTTTTTTGGTATATATCATGTTTAGGCACTAGTCTGTTAGACTCCTCATTTACTCTAGATGAATACTCAGTTGGCATTGTTCTTTAAATGGTTCTGATGTTTTTGTGCAACTCAATTGAGGGTTTCGTGGCAGTTAGTGACTTTCCTGTTGAACCGTTTGATGTCAAAATCAACAGATTCTTAGATTTGGGAACAGATAATGCCTTTGGTTGCTGAACCTTTTTCTTCCCTCTTCTCTGCATTTTTTAAGGTTGGGGGGTGTAAGCTGGGGGTGAGTTCATCTACAATTATATGAATTGTGTCCATGAACTTCCTAGGTTGGTAACTTTAATAATATTGGCGGGGCCGGCTTGGCTGAGGGTGTAGGCTTGGGGATGAGTTCATCTACAAGTATATGAATTGTGTCCATGAACTTCCTAGGTTTGTAACTTTAATAATATATTGTGCTCCAGAGTTGATGTCTTGGTATCCTTAATTGAATTAATGAAACTTGGGTGTATGTTGTAGGTTATGCATCTCTGAATTGTGTTGGTCATTTTTTCTAGTTTAATAATAGAATTATAAATTATTATTTGTGTTGTTTTTATTTATTACCATCACTAAAAATTTGGAACAGATCAAAATACAATAACATTTTGTTGTTTTTATTAGTATGTTTGATGCACAAGCTTTCTATTGTTGGAGCATTTTGTTTTACGTATTTTTTTGGTATTTGTTTGCCTTTGTTACAATTGTGCTTGAACTACCGTTGGAACTTGGAACTATGCATAAGCAATCAAACCAATTAGTCTAATTTCTCTGTTTGTCTAGCTGATTCTTGAGTTACAAATTTTGAGAGAATTTTTTCTCTCTTACAGTTTTAGGAAATAGGAAGTATCATCTTCTTATTTGATGCACAAGCTTTCTATTGCTGAAGCATTTTATTTTACGTATGTCTTTGGTATATCTTTGCCTTTGTTATGATTGTGCTTAAACTACTGTCAGATTTTGGAACTATGCATAAGCAATCAAACCAATTAGTCTAATTTCTCTGTTTATCTAGCTGATTCTTGAGTTACAAATTTTGATAGAATTTTTCTCTTTTACAGTTATAGGAAGTATCATCTTCTTATCCGATAAATATGAACGAAAGAGATTTGTTGTGTAGCAGCCATCGGGCTTTTGATCTAGCAAATGGTCAGCAAGTCCAGAATCATATTCATCCTGAGCCCTGCATTTTTATGGGAAGCACATCTAATTTTCCACGGTCACATATAAATCAGGTGTTACCTCCATCTGGAAGTATGAACAGCTTTGATCTCCACCATTTACCAGAGCATGTTGTTGGGAGGCAATCTTTTTATGGGATGACACAGTATAATCAGCCTAACCATCCTGCTACAAATCAGCCTAACTTCTATAATGGGCATTTAGAACCTGCATCTGGATCGAGGATGTTTCCAGTTCCACTTAACCATGGATTTGTTGACCAGCTACCATCTTCAAGCAATTATGGAGGCAATGTGGTTTCCTTTAATGATCATGGGAGGATCAATTACTCGGAAGAAAGTGTTAGAGAGTTATGTAAGAGGAAAAATTCCGAAGGAATTCCAGGAAATGTTATGCATTTTGGTGCTTCTGCAGGACCTAGTAGCTCTTCAGCTGCTCCTATGACTAGCAGTCATTACGATTCTGGGTCTGCTTCTATGGAAGCATCACTTTCGTTGCCAGATTACAGAGGTAATGCCTCTTATTCTATGATGGAAGCAGTTTCAGGAGCTAGGCATAGATCTGGTGCTGTTGGGCCTCATATGGATTCTGCTATGTTGCATAACTATAATAATTTTATAGTTCAAGGGAATTATGGAGGCCAATCTTTTCAGCCATCTAGTTGCTCATGGTTGGAGCAACAGTCAATCAGCAATGCTGGGGGTTTACCATGGAGTGGACCTCCCATGTTGCCTTATTATCAAGGTAATGTCTTTGTCTCTGATGATTTCTATTTCATCCTGACACCTATGTGCACACAACTCACAAAGAGGGAGGGGGGGCTGGAGGGGAGAGAGGCTTGCACAATGACCGTGTAACATGCGTAAACAAGTGCACACAATTTATGATTTTTTTTTTAAGTTATACGCTTAAACTGTTGATTATTTTTTTTTCCTCAGAAATTGTTGTATATGCAGATGGCTAATTAATGATTTGCTTTTGATGATTTATCCAGGGAACAATATTCATGGAGGTTCCCCTGAGCTAGCAAATGCTTGTCTACCTGGTAACACTGAAAGATCTACTAACCATGGCTCTGCCAATTTCTTGCATGCGCCTCCTGTTATTCAACAACACCACAATCTACATCCATCGCAGAATATTCAGGGTGTGAGAGGGTATGGTATCGCCTGTTATCCTCCTTTTCTGGCAGCTCCAAGTAGAGTTCCACCAAGTGATGTTATGCTTCATGATCTTTCGTCTATATCCCAAGAAAGTGCTGAGCCAGGAAATAGGCCAACGGGCATTAGAATATATCGCTCTCAAGAAAGAAGCCTTGTGCCTGATGTAGCTTCCAGACGCCGTGATCTTCCTCGTTTAAGGACTCTTCCAGTAGATGTATGTCCATCCTTTAACTTCTAGCGTATATCCTCTGGCCTATAGGTTAGAATAACATAATCTGGGTCTGCTTAAATATTACATATCTACTATGCTGCATGACACTTGTTTAAAAGTTATCTGCTTTTGCTTAGAAAATCTTAACTCCTTTACTGCTCTGGGAATGAACAAGTAAAGTAGATTTGATGTTACTCAGGCCATTAGAGTTGCAGACTTACTGCTGATAACACTAAAATGCTGCACAATATAATTTAGACGAGGAACACCTGTTTATATTTAGAATGCTAATATTCAGCTTCGTTGCTTGTAGAGAGTTGCACTTTTGGATTTCCCAGACCTTTATGAAGTAGACTACGATGTCGAGAGCATTATTGATCATCATAGGGATATGCGTTTGGATATCGATGACATGTCCTATGAGGTGAGTTATTATATATATTGTTGTAAAATATAACCTGCTCTTGCAGATCAATTACTGAGAACAATCTGACATGTACATTATTCTTACATCTTTACATGTACCCTAGCAATGGTGATATGATATGATATTTGCTTTCTTTGTTGCAGGAACTTCTTGCTTTGAGTGAACGTATTGGGACAGTAAATACTGGTTTGACAGAGAAAGACATTAGATGCCATCTGAAAACTAGAAGATACAAGTGTACTGCAGCTACTATCAATTTAGAGGAGTTGCCATGTAGTGATCAAAAGAACGATTCATGCATCATATGCCAGGTAAAAATTACTATGATGTTTTGTTTTATCCTTAAGCTTGGTGGACTTTTTAATTGAAACCTTAGCCTGTTAAATGAAAAAAGCTCTGTGGACAATATGATTATGGTTGTTATTGGCGTTGCAGGATGAATACGAAGACAATCAGAAGCTGGGAACCCTAGAGTGTGGGCATGAATACCATGTAGATTGTTTGAAGAAGTGGCTGCTCTTGAAGAACGTGTGCCCGATTTGTAAATCGGCTGCCTTGGTTGTGGATCGCTCTTGATGGACTGAAAAAGCTTCACTGCCTATCAACTGCTATAACTATGTAGAACTTTTATTGTACTCGTACATATTATACTTTTGGAGATGAACTTGTATAAAAACCATTTATTCAGGGCACTTCTTTGTTATAAGAGGTGGTGGCCTTCGCCACCAACTTATCTGCAGTGGTCCTTCCCTCCAGAATGTCACGGAACTGTACAGACCTTTGTAAACTTTGGTCCTGTAGCTGGGTCCTGTTAATCTAGTATTTTTGTGAATAATTGAGCATTAACTTTGTTCTTATCATGCTTTAATAAGCTAGTACGTGCACTTGTGCTTTTAAAGGTGGTATCGCTATATAGCTTAGTGCTTGTTTGGTTGCACATGGGAATTTACAATTCATGTGAAGTTAAATCCTAGGAATACTCTTATCTGATTTGGTTTATCACTTAGAAATTGTATTTTATATGAATTAACCTCCTATGTTTTGTTTGATTTACGTGATGTATTTTCTACAGATTAAATTTTTTCCTTTTATACTAAAAAGTTGACACTACATGACAATGACACTAATCGGTCACGAAAAAATTGAGTTAGTGTCTAGGGTTTATGGCACATTGGCATGTATAATTAAACGGATTAACATGACATACACGTTTAATTAAACAAATTGGGTTAGTTTTGAGATTTCAATACGAATTTAAACGACGTATTTGCCTAAGAAAAAAACTTGAAGAGTCCTTAAATGAGGAAATACTGGGCCAAACACATTATAATCACCCCTTATTACTACACTGGCATTTTGTAGAGGAGATCAACTATGGCCCGACCCCATTCGACCCAAAAAAAGAGCTGGTTTGGACAAGCCTAAAAACACATTTTCAGGTAAAAACCCGAACTCGCCCAAAAAATAGCTCGAAAAGTCCACAACTTTTTTACGGGCTTAAGAATGAGATACGGAGTATGATGTTAAGGCTCAGTCCGCCCCCAAAGTTTTGATCACCTCATTCGTTTTTGGTAAGTTTTATGTAGTTGACACGTATTCGTTTTTGAGAAAATTTTTATTTTTGGCAGAGAGTGCTAATAAAGAAATACAAAAAACAAAGACTACCAACAAACTACACTACGCAAAACACTGAAGAGACAATGTCGAGCAAATTTTATTCAAGCCAAGTTGGAGTAATTGAAGTCAACACTAGGCCCACGTTCACGCTATGCACCCACATGAGCCACCTGGCAACGAGCAACCGATCTAGCTCGATCCACTACTCAAATTCCTAAACCGAGGATGAATAATAGACTTGTGGTTGACCCTGAAGCCTTAGCACTAGAATGCAAAGTAAAGAACTGAAAACTAGAATCACAAACTTTTCCCACATACTCCTGTGAATTCATCCCTCCCATATGACTATCAACGTCAAGGAGGGCAGTCATGCAATTTCAACTATTGGGCGCCATTGGAGCACCTAAGGACTGCTACAAAAAGGGAACCAGGTGAGACTTTGTTATGGGCTCCGTCTGCCGCTTCTCCTCACAGGATATACCTTTAGTGAAGTAAAGGTAGAGGACATCGCTACACCGGACTTCACATCGTGGGAAACCTCGATCACCTTCGCTGGATAAGATTGCAAAATTGGAGCATACGTGGACTGCGAAATGGGAGCTGATAGGAACTTTGAAGTGGATATCGTCGCCTGTTGCTCCATTCCACCACAGAACTTAACTGGAGTAGAAATAGAGGTCTCTGCTTCCCTAAAAGTTACATCTCGGGGGACCTCGGACAAATCCGAATAAACATTAACGACATAGACTTAGAATGGTAGAAATGAATGACATTGCCTTGCTTAACCTGCTGCAAATTTGAGGAAGAAAGCCAAAGGGATGAACTTGAACAATTTCGAGTAACAAACTCATGCATACGAGGGACTTCAGCTTCCTGATGAAAAGGTGGTAAAGACTTACAATCCCTGTCATTACCAACTGTATCCGATTGGAAATCACATTCCATATCAACACTCTCTGAAATCAGTGGTGGGAGATTACAATCGTTATCACCACCAGACGAACCAGGCGATAGTAGTGGCTCCAAAACAACAACTGAACTTATCACATTACACTGAAAATCAGCAATTGGAGTAGCCACTTCCGCAACACAACAATCCTTTTTTACTTGACAACCAGTTACACAATCATTGGGAACTCGAGAAGTCGACTCAGCTTGGGTAACGGACTGGACCATCTTACCCTTCTGTTTTTATCGACTAAAGACATAGATAGTAACAAACCCTCAACACAATGAAGTTTTGTTAACACCTTGTTGAGGCAAATATTATTCTTTGCCAACAAGTCAAATACCTTATGTTGTTTTAGAGTATTAGGGGCTGCCCCTCGAGTTACCGGTTTCAAAAATTGATAAAGCAACCAGCAAAACATAGTATAGATATTGATTCATGTTCTAATTTAGAAATAAATGAAGATCCAAATAATCCTATAATTGAAAAAAGAAAGGTAATTGGATATAAAACTAAAACTGTGAGTGAACCAGTATATGAAAATAAAGTGAATATGCAAATGGAAGCCTATAATGAAATATCCAGTACTAATCCTAATAGCATTTATATTCCAATCATTGATATATGCATTGAATATTATAATAAATATAAATTATGTGCATATATTAATAGTGGTTGTTCTACATGTTTCGGAAAAAGATCTTTATTTCTAGAATTCTTGTGGAAAAAAACTAAAAAAAATCCTATGCAAGTTAGAATTTCTAATAACAATGTCATGATGCATACGGAAATGATAGAAGAATTACCAATAGAAATTGGAGGTGCTTAATGTGTTATTCCTATTTTATGGGTGACTAATCAGTCTAGTCATGATAATAGGAAATAACTTTCAAAGATCATACTCTTCATACACTCAAACCATTGATTAAATTATTTTTACTGTTAATGGTCATTTTGTTCCTATACAGAAAACAACTAAAGCTTATACTCATAAGACTATGGAATTTGCGCGCATCGAGTGTGGTGATAGGGTTACACCCCTTACACCTATACAAAGAGAGGTTGCACTTAGAACTTCTGAGTGTATCAATAATAGATCAGATAATTAAGAAGTAAGAAAAATTATGTGAAAAATTATATTCAATAAATCCGTTAGAACATTGGGAAAAGGATAAAGCATCGGCTAAAATAACTCTAACAAATTCGAATAAGATTATTCGAGTAAGACAAATGGTTTATACCTACCGAGTTTCTATCGCTTGAAGGCCATGAATATATATTTGAAGCTTTCATGAAACTGGCTGGAAGGCACTTTACTCCCTTTAGGGTTACTAACTCACTACCTTACCCACTCCCTCTGAGTAGCCGCCGCACGCACACCTCTCTCTCTCTCAACTCTCAAACACTCACTCACAAACACGCATCCACCGTACCTCACTCTCAGCGCGACCATCGTACCTCACTCTCAGGCGACCACCGTACCTCACCCTCCCCCATTTAGTTTGATTTGTGGCTTTGAGACAATGTTTGGAGACTTTGGAGTTTGTAATTTGGCTGTTTTGATGTAAACTCTCTGAAGTTTCTTAAGTCTCTGCTCTCTGGACACTCTGAACTCTGAACTCTGAATTGTGGTTTTGCATTTTGTACTTTGAATCTGAATTAGTTTGAGATTAAGTGAGTATTTTGTACTTTGAATCAAATAGGTATACAATGATAGGGCAGCATTGCAGCAGGTTTGTTTTAATAAAAAACAGCAGGATTATTATTAAACACAACAGGTTTTTTTTTTTTTAAAAAAAATAAACACAGCAGGTTTTATTTTTAACGAAAACAGCAGTTTTTTTTAAATATATAAAAAACAGCAGGTTTTTAAAGCCATAAACAACATGTTTTATTTTTAAAAAATATAAAAAAAAAACAAATATATTAATATACTGGGTACCCGGTGACCCGACTTGGTAAAAACGAGTACCCACTTATCGCGTACCCGATTTTATCGGGTCGGGTAATGGGCCCCCTAACTTACTACCCGCACTTCTGGTTATCCGCACTTTTGGGTACCCGAAAATCCGGGTACCCGGTTATGAGCACCCCTACCAAAGCTCATTACTAGCTAGCATCTGTTTCAAGGATTAAATCATCTTCATTAGTATGAAGTGTTACTACAAGAAGATCTTTACACATAGCTTTAAAATTTTGAACGATTTTGGAATCAGTTTCCTTCCAGTTCCAAATCATTTCTTTCTTGAGTTTTTGCTGTAATGTTTTCTTAATAAAGTAAGATTTTCTATGAAATCAAAAGCATAGATTAAATATCCTAAAAACCTTTCTAGTTGTTTTCTATCTTCAATTTCATTTGTGAATTATTCAATCTTTTCGAGAATATGTTTTTGCAAAATGATTTTTCCTGCTTTAAATTCTAATCCTAGAAATTCAATTTCTTGTTTAGCATAGACACATTTATCTTTTCCAATGATTATTCCATGTTCAACACACTTCTGAGTTACTGCTTTAAGATCATCCTTATGTTGCTCTAAATCTTTTGAGAAGATTACCATATCATCTATATAGACCAAACAACAATGATTAAGTTCCCTAAAGATATTATCCATTCTTCTTTAAAATATTTGTGGAGCATTTTTTAATCCAAAAGGCATTACTAACCATTTATAATGTCCCTAAGGGACCAATTGATTGTTGGTGTAGTGGTGATTGGGACTGCACTTCGTAGGGAGGACCGTGTGTTCGATCCCTCGCAACAACAATTGAGAAGAAACTGGAACCTAACCACCCAAAACTGATCCCTGAATCTGGGTTAGCCCGAAGGGTAAACCGGGTGGAACACTAAAAAAAAATGTCCCTAAGGGGCACTGAACGCAGTTAATGGAATGCTTTCTTCTTCCATTTTAATTTGCCAGTAACCACTCTTGCAATCCAATTTAGAAAACCATGTGGCTTTTTGTATTCTATTTAATAACACAGTTTTATTAGGAATGTAATAGCCATCAAATACTGTATTATCATTTAGTTGTTTATAATTAATGACCATTCTATGTTTACCTCTTTTTTCTTCTACATGATTCCTTACCATAATTGCTGGACTATTATGAGGACTATTGCTATTCCTGATTAACTTCTTATTCAATAATTCTTTTATTTGTTCGTTAAATTTTAATATATCTCGGTAGGTATAAACCATTTGTCTTACTTTAATAATCTTATTTGGATTTGTTAGAGTTATTTTAGCAAATGCTTTATCCTTTTCCCAATGTTATAATGGATTTGTTGAATATA